TTTGATGAGCCTGTTTGTAAGGTTATTTATTTTGTGCCTTTAAAGGAGAATCCAGCGAGGATTAGCCCGGATTCCGTCGTGTTTATGAATTTGAGTTAAATTTGGGGCTTCACATCCACCGTTGGATTTTCGGGTGGGGACCACGTGGGTCATCTTGGACCGCTTGATCGATCCTTCTGACCTTTTTAATATTTTTCTAACCCAATTACTTTCTATAGCAGAAAAACCTAATTTTTTAAATACCAATAGTAAAAATTGGAAAAAGAAAATACTATTTATAGAAATCATGTATCATGGGAATTATGCAAAAACAATGTGACAATTAAAAATTTTACGTGACAATATGTTTATTACACGAATATTCATTTGATGATTGATTAATATAAATTAGATATTTTTTGTTTCATTATGTACTTACATAGTTATTTACATTGATTATAAATAAATATTCTTAGATGAGATATTTATTAAACATTTTTTGTTCATAATATATACTTAGTAAAATATGAATTCATTGAATAATTCTTAAATTTAAAATTTTCCTTTGATAATATAATTTATTTAGAATTTCATGCAAATAGTAAAGTTTTAAAAATATTTGAATTTTTTTTCTTTGAAAAAATTGATTTGGATTTGGTCCATGAACGGATGCTATCTTTTGTTTTGGTAAAATACTTTTATGACTTCAATAAGAAAAATAGGTATAATAATATGATAATAATTATTGCTGGATTATATTTTACCATCTAAAACTAAATAAGATAATATTATTTATAAATATGTATAAAATATAATTAATATTATTTATAAATATATATTTTAGATAGCAGTTCAAAATAAATAGGTTTGTATTAACTATGTACTACATTTAATTTATAACAAAACATAAGTGAGACTCAAATAATATAGTCAAAAAAAATTATAACATAACTATATTTGTCTGAAAATATGAATATATATTATTTTATAAAACATTCATTGCAGATTATATTTTATTTATATATATATATATATATATAACCCTGTTTTAAAAATTACATTTATGTTTTATTGATAATAGAAAATTTTTCTATAATTTAAATAGTTTCACATTATCTTAAATTTTATAAAATTATTTGTGATGATCAGTACAGTTGACAGGAGAAAATGTGCTTTTGACTTTTAAATTGTATATTTGATAATTTTATAAATTTCCAAATAAAAACTTTTGTTTGTATATTAAACTTGAAATTTGAAAAAATTCAGAAAACTAATTGTTATAATGGATAAAAATAAATGTAGTTTAAACAATATAGCAAAATTTAAATCCAAAACTAATAATTGCAATCACTGCTAAATTTTCATTTATTGAAGATAGATTTTCAATTAACTTAAGTTATAAGTGTATTTGTGTAACACACAACTATTTCTTTTTATTTTAATATATAATTTTATTTTAATTTAAAAAAATATAAAAAGTATTATAGAATTTAATTTAATTTAATTTATTTA